AATATATGAGGAACTCAAACAACTCAACAGCAAGAAAATAACCCAATTAACAAATGGGCAAAGGACCTGAACAGACATTTCTCAAAAGAAGACATAAAAATGGCCAAGAGGCACATCAAAAAAGTGCTCAATATCACTAATCATCATGGAAATGCAAATTAAAACCACAACAAGATATCACCTCACTCCAGTTAGAATGGCTATTATCAAAAAAGGCGGAAAATAACAAGGGTGAGGATGCAGAGAAAAGGGAACTTTCCTGCATTGTTAGTGGGAATGTAAATTGGTACAATTATTGTGGAAACAGTAAGGAGGTTCCTTGGAGAACTAAAAATAGAACTACCTTATGACCCAGCAATCCCACTACTGGGTATATACTCAAAGGAAATGAAATCAATATATTGAAGAGACATCTAATCTCCCATGTTCATTGCTACACTATTCGCAATAGCCAAGAGACAGAATCAACCTAAATAGTGATCAATGGATGAAGCATATCTTTATTTATTTCTTTATATACCTGTTGGCCATTTACGTCTTTTGAGAGTCCTTTGATGTTTCATAATTTTCAGTATCTTCACCTCCTTGCTTAAGTTTATTCCTAAGGATTTTATCTTTTTTTTCATTAATGTAAATGGTATTATCTTGTTAATTTTCATTTTAGGGAGTTTGTTGTTTGGGTATAGAATGCCATTGATTTTGTATGTTAATTTTGTACCCTTCAATTTGATTGAACTTGTTAATTCTACCATGTTTTTTTCTTCTCAGTCTGTGTGGAGTTTTACCTATAAGAATGTCATCTGCAAACAAGGACAATTTTACTACTACTTTTTTTATTCAAGTCTTTTTATTTCTTTATCTTGTTTAATTGCTCTGCCTAGTTCTTCTGGTATTATGTTGAATAGAAGTGACAAGAGCAGGCATCCTTGTTTTCTACCAGGTCTTAGAGGAAAAGCTGTAAGTTTTTACTTATTATGATGTTAGCTGTGGAATCTTCATATACAGCCTTTACTGTGTTGAGGGAAGTTACTCCTATACTTATTTTGTTGAGAGTTTTTAATATTAATGGATGTTGAGTATTGTCAAATGCTTTTTCTGCACCTACGGAAATGAGCATGTGTTTTTTAATCTTTCATTCTGTTTTTGGAGAGCATCACAGTGATTGATTTATATATGTTGAACTGTATGTGCATCCCAGGGAGAAATCCCACTTGGTTATGGTGTTTAATCCTTTTAAGGTGCTGTTGAATTTGGTTTGCTAGTATTTCACTGAGGATATTTGCTATTGGTCTGTAGTTTTCAATTCTTGCATTGACTTTGGCTTTGGTATCAGTGTGATGCTGGCCTGATAAAATAAATTTGAAAGTGTTCACTCTTAAAATGTTTAGATTTTAAGGAGGATTGGTATTAATGATTCTGTGAATGTTTGGTAGAATTCACTTGTGAAGCCATCTGGTCCTGGGCATTCTTGTTGTTGGGAGGTTTTTGATTATTGATTCAATTTCCTTATTTGTTATTGGTCTGTTCAGGCTTTTTATTCCTTCTGGATTTGGTTTTGGCAGGTTGTATGTCTCTAGGAATTTATCCATTTCTTGTTATTCAGTTTATTGGCATATCATTGTTCCTAGTTGTTCTTTTGATCATTTTTATTTCTGAGGTATCAGGTTTGTTTTGTTTGTTTGTTTGATATGATATGGACAAGCCCAGAAAAGCTTAAACCTGCACCTGAACTTCCGCTTTTTGTTTTGCGCCTGTATTGTTGCTTTTTGTAACACTAAGGCCCTTTGTTTTTTATCAGCCTAGACCTGACCACATGGATTCCAAGAAAATGAAACTTACAACCCTGGAAAAATGTAACCTATATAACCCTTTGCAAGCCTGGAGTCTGGCTCAGACTTTGGAGTGTGAACTCTTCTGGGCCTGCCAGTATAATAAATCTTTGAGTTCTCCAACCCTCTGAGTGACGCTTGGTTTCCCGGCAGTCTGTCCTGTAACAGATAAGTCATGACCAGGTGTGGTTGTTTCCTGCACCACTCAGCAGCCCAGGGTATCCCTGAGCATTCAGAGGGAGGATGGTCCTTGGCCAAAGGCTTGAGTGCAGGAAGTGGAGCATGGCGCCTCCTGCCAGAGGGGCATCAAGCCGAAAGGGTGCATCAGGTGGGTCCAGATCCCGCAAGAGCTGGTGTTGGCCCAAGGCCAGAGGCGGCTGACTGGCACCTACTGGTGGGTGGCCCGAGCACTGGTGCTGGCCAGCTGCAAGGCTTTTCAAAGGCTGGGCACTCATGATGCATAAGCGCCCCTGGAGGTCGGTCGGACCCCGAGGTATCTGTTCTGTCTCATCTTTCATTTCTTTTTATTTTATTTATATGTCTTCTCTTTCTTAGTCTATCTAGGTAAGGGTTTGAAGATTTATTTTTCAATAGGCCAACTCTTAGTTTAGTGGATTTTGTGTATTGTGCTTTAATTCAGTTTTATTTATTTCTGCTCTGCCCTTTATTATTTTCTTTATTCTCCTAAGTTTAGGCTTAGTTTCTTTCTTTCTCTCCTGGTTCTTGATTTAAAATTAAGTTGCCTATTTGATATCTTTTTTATTTTAATGTAGTTGTTTACTGCTATAATTTTCCCTCATGATACTGCTTTTGCTGCATTTGATAATTTTTTTAAAAATTTTATTTTGTCGATATACATTGTGGTTGATTATTATAGCCCCTTACCAAAACCTCCCTCCCTGCATTTGATAATTTTTTTAAAAATTTTATTTTGTCGATATACATTGTGGTTGATTATTATAGCCCCTTACCAAAACCTCCCTCCCTGCATTTGATAATTTTGCTATGTTCTGTTTTCATTTTTTTATTTTTTGGGTGGCTAGCCTGTAGGGGGATCTGACCCTCAAACTTAGTGTTACCAACACCACACTCTAACCAAGGGAGCTAACTAACCAGCCAGCCCCTTTTATTTGTTTATTTATTTTTTTACTTTTTAAAATTTTTTGGCAGATGGTAGGTATGGGGAACCCTTGACTTTGGTGTTATAACACCACACTCTAACCAACTGAGCTAACTGACCAGCCCTGTTTTTATTTTTTATTGTCTCCTGACATTTAAAATTTTTTCTTTAGAATTCCTGTTTGACCTGCTGGTTGTTCCCAAGTGTGTTGTTCAGTTTCCATGTGCTTCTGAATTTATTTCTCATGTCCTTACTGTTATTTTTAGTTTCACTGTTTTGTGATTGGAAAAGATACATGAAATGATATCTATCTTCTTAAATTTGTTAAGACTTTTTGCATAACCTAACATGTAGCCTATGCTGGAGAATGTTCTGTGTGTGCTTGAGAAGAATGTGAATTCTTCTGCTGTTGTGTGGAAAGTTCTGTATTTGTTTGTTAGGTCCATTTGGTCAGTAATGTTTGTTCTGCTATTTATGTGTTGCTTTTTTGTCGGGATGATCTATTCATTATAGAGAATAGAGACTGAAATCTCCCAATACTATTGGATTACTATCTATTTCTTTCTGCAGATCTGCCACTGTTGGCTTTATTTATTTAGGTGCTCTTAATTTGGATGTATGTATATTTATATTGTTATATCTTCCTGTTGAATTTAAATTTTTATCATTGTATTATAAAATTTATTGTGTCTTGTGATAGCTTTGACTTAAAGTCTGGTTTTTTTTCTTTCTTTCTTTTTTTTTTTTTTTTGTCTTTTTTCATGTCTGGCAACAGATCACAACCCTCAGTGTCGCGCCCGTACCAGACCGGGACCGGCAACAGGATCGCAACCCTCAGCATCGCGCCCGCTCTTCGCTCAGCCAGTGAGCAGGAACCAGTCTGTATGTGGGATCCGAACCCTCGGCGGAAGTGCTGCCGTGCTCCCAAGTGGCGCACTGTAGCAGTGCGCCACCAGGCTGGCCCCTGTTTTTTTTTCTGATATAAGTAAAGTCACCTATGCTGTCTTTTAGTAACCATTTACATGGAATTTCTTTCTCTATCTCTTTACTTCCAGTCTGTGTGTGTCTGTAAATTTAAAGGGAGTTTAAAGTGAGTTTCTTTCAGAAAGCATATATTTGGGCATTGATTTTTTTTTTTTTTCTTTTGCTGGCCTATACAAGGATCAAACCCAGACCTTGGTATTATCAGCACCATGCTCAAACAAATTGAACTATCCAGCCAGCCTTTAAGTTTTTCTAGCTACTCTGTCTTTTGGGCTTAGAGTTCAATCCATTTCCATATAATGTAATTATTGACATGTAAGGACTTACTATTGCCATTTTGTTAATAGTTTCCTGTGTTTTGTAGCCATGTATACAAAAACAACTATATTCATAAGCATGTGCAGAATCCAGCACAAGTAAATGGAAAGTCCAGCGAACTTGGATCTTTTACTTTAAACTCTGTCCACATGGACTTTCTGGGGCTAATTTTAAAGGTCTAGAAGATCTAAAGAACACACACCTGAACAAACTGTGAGCATAAAAACAAGGTTGCATGCAAAGTCTCTGAGAAAATATTCAACCTAAAAGCTGCCATTGTGTGACAGACCCTTTAAAAAGGAATGTTAAGGTTTAGCCAATAATCATTTTTCTGAGAAGCAAATCTGTGTACTTTTAAACTGCATCTACTGAAGTAAGCAATGACATAATGATAAAGAAAAGAGAAATTCCCCAAGATTACAAATATAGTGTGATAAGAAGATAATCCCTATTGCCAAATTGTGGGAAACCATTCTGTCACTTCCCAGACACTAATAATCATATTCAGAGTGGTATGTCCCACTCAGTAATTAGATTTGTGTCACTATTGCCATGACAAATAAAATCCACTACTCTTCACTCAGAAACACATTGCATTTTTTGTATTTATAAGTGAATTCATAACTTTGCATATTGTGGTACATATATATGTAGCTTCAAGTAAAAGTTACTGTTATTAATGTTTAATATGTAATAACTGATTGAATTTGTAATTCTCTGAGATTACTGTTGTTATTCTTATTTTACAGATGAGGAGACCCTAGGCATAATATGCAAAGTTTTTTTCAACTCACATCACACTAAGTGGCAGCAGCAGACTCTGAACCTGTGTTGTCTAATTGCAAGGAGAAGTCTTAACTGTTACATTACATGAAGCTAGTCGTTTGCTTTTCCAGTCTTCAACATCTGTATTTACTTTTGCTGATGTTCACTGCCATTTTAAGTGGTTTTATCCTTTTCAATAATTGTGATTGTGGGTACTTTTATAGTTATGTGTATAAATGTTATGGAGTCAAATTATCTTTGAATAAAAATTAAATGCAAATAAAATGATTATATACTGGTTACCATATAAGTCCTATAAGAAAGATTATCCCAGGAGCATGTGATGAATATATTGGGTCAAGAATGTGTTAATATGATGGTAAATGTATTAGTCCATTTCTGTTGCTTATAACTGAATGCCTGAAACTGGGTAATTTATAAAGAAATTGAATTTATTTCTTACAGTTTGGAGGCTGGGAAGTTCATGGTCCAGGGGCACATCAGTAAGGGCCTTGTTCTTATGACTCTACAGGGATGTGGAGTGTCACATGGCAAATGGTTGAGAGAGCTAAGAGAGAGCTAACCTCCTCACTTGCTCTCCTTTTAAAGCTATCAAAACCACACCTCTCACCAACCATTAATCCTTTCACAAGAGCAGTCCCTACAATCCAATCACCTCTTAAAAAGCCCCACCTTTCAAACACCATGATTGGATTTCCCACCCTTTAACACTGTTACAGTGGGGATTAAGTTTGTAACACAAGAACTTTGGGTGAAACATTCAACCTATAGCAGTGACAGATATATATTTGTTCCTATGCCAGGAAAAGAGTAGAATGATAGAACCCATGGAAATCTTTGTACCATAATATGGTGGAATAAGCTACAAGTTTTGAAACATATATGAAACAAAGCAGTGACAGATTGATCTTGAATTTTTGATTACATATGTAATTGATTAATTATGAAGGAGGATGAACTGAAACTTTATTATAATCATTGAAATATACTCAAACATAAGACAGATATTCAAATGGTACCGAGAAGGCCCAGCATCATGTACATTCAATACATTTTAATAGTAGATTTCTTGTGAACTTAGGTTTATATTAAAATGTTTTTTTAAATGAAATATATCTCAAGATACATCTCAGCCTGCAAACTGCCAAGTCCCAGATTTTTTTTTCTGAAACTCAGCATCATGTTAACTTTCCTTCATGTAGTTGTTGCTTAACTTTTGGTGGGATAATTATTTCCCCATAATCCAAAGACTATAGATTTCTTCTGTGTGAATACAGTTACTGTGTCCATTAAACTCATTGTAGCTATCACCTCTCATACATTCAGTCATTCTACAGAATTGTGTTATTCAATAAGTTAGAAGAGGTTTTTTACCAACACCTCTTATCCTGAAAAGAAATGTTTGTGATATATGTAGGGTGGATGTATTTCAGAAGTACAATTACAGAGTGACTTAATATCAGGTTATATTTCTATTAGGATAAAACATAAACCATAACCATGAATGAGGATTACATTAAATTACATTAAGAGGCATCAGAGATTGGTATAAAGTTGAGGACCTACAGTCTCTCTCCACAAGCACAGAAAATATCCCAGGAATTATTCTTATAACCCCAGGGACATCTGGACCAGTTTCTACCAAAAAGAATCCTATTTCCAACATCAGCACCTCTCCAGATTCCTGACATACTTTTTCCCTTGACAGCCTCTCAGAATGAAAGAGGAAATACTCACATGCTCCTTCCTCTGGTATGATGGTGGACTCACTGAGAAAGTCCCAACAGCCAGTATGTGTGAGAGGGAAATAGCCAGGACCTGAGATAAAGGTTTGTGATTATATGACCTCAACTTCCACAGAACCAGAATCATCACTTCAACTGTAGCAACAATGACATAGTATAGTGCATGCTATGAGAGTTGACAATATCTTATAACAATTTATTCCATTTTTCAAATACTGGAAACAATTACAAGTGTCTGATAAGCATTTTTTTAAAAAAACTGTTGGAGTTTTGGGAAGAGCCTTGTTTATTTCCATGAGCTCTGGAGAAAAACAGGTTCCTATGCAGAGAGCAGGAAATGGTGATATTTGAGTTATGAGGGACTTGCAGCAAAGTGTGCATCCCACTGGATCTTCTGTTTCCCTGAGAGTTTACTTCTATAAAGAAATCAAATTATTTTCTAAGTCAGACCCCAGATTTCAGATCCCTTCTATATTAAGGGAGGAGAAATAGGATGACGTGAAGAGACTGAGAATAATTGTTTAATGAGGTAAGACTGCAAGGAAAAACATGATGTCAAGAATTGATTTTGAAAAACATTAGGTGGCCTATTATAAGTAAATGTGTGAACAGGTAAATAAATGGGGAGAAGAGACAAATCTCCCATGTAGAAGAATTTAGAGTAATTTATGTCGGTACTCCACTCTTAAGGAGGTGGGAAATAACTCCCAACTCCTTAAGTGTAGACTGTGTATAGTTATTTCCTTTTAAAAGAGTACAGTATTTAGTAGGGGAGAAAAGATTAACTTTAGAGGGGAGAAACCTGACAAACACAACTTTAGCCAGATGATCAAGGTCAACATCAACAGTGATAAGTCATGTTGATAGTGTGAGCCCTTGACATGATATGGTAAACACAGAACTTCTTCTCTATGGTCTTTCACAGAGCATCTAACTCCAGTCTAATCATGAGAAAAACATCAGACGTGTCCCAATAAAGTTGCTTTCACCAGTAACAGCAAAAACTGCTGCTGTATCTGACCAGCACACCTCAAAACTATCAAGTTAATCCAATACAAAGAAAGTCTGAAAACTGTCGAAGCCAAGAGGAACTTTAATAGACATGACTGCTAATTGTAATGTGGCATCCAGGATGAAATCGAGGAAGAGATAAAGAACATTAGGTATAAACTGAGGAAATTTGAATAAAGAATGAATAGGTTAAGAATAATGTATCAATAGTGGTCTGCTAAATATAAGAAATGTACCACACTATTCTAAAATGTTAATGATAGAAACTGTCCAGGGCTTATGAGAATCTGTACTATCTTTCCAATGTTTTTTCTGTAAACCTAAAACTTCCAACAATAAAGGTTATTAAAAAATTTTAAACACTAAATAATTTGTACAGCTTAATGAATATTGATATAATATCTATATGCAGATGAAATGGCAATTTCTAGGAAAATATACCATACCAATATTGATGTTAGTAGAGACAGAAAATCTACACAGCAATATCCATGGAAGAGATTGATTAGTTTTATAAAAATTCCTTACAAACAATAGCAGCATAATGAGATCTTTTAAAAGAAAAATCCTAGTATCTTTTAAATACATTAAAATCAATGCTCCCTGAAATATTTAAATATTACATAAGAAGTAGGAAACTTCAAAATAACTTTTAGTATTTGAATAGTAAATTGATACCAAGACCTTTAAAAAATTACTGCAAATAAAGTAATACATAAAATGCTCACATCCACATATACATAAAAAAATATTGTGTAAAATATTACCAAACATTTGCAATTGTTGATTCAAAATAATGTATGATGTACAAATAAAATTTATACCTCAAATGCAGGTAAAATTTAATGGTAATAAATCCAGTAATACAGTTCATCATTGTAGATATAAAGAGAAAAAAATAAGGTGCTCATGTTCATAAGCACAAACAAATTGGCAGTATTCAACAGGAAATAATGTTAGATAAAAATAGTGAATTAAGAAATTATGTATCTTCAAAAAATTGTCAACCATCTGAAGAGCACTACAGAAACTCCACTAAAGTAAAAAATATCTCTAAGGAGCATCAAGTCTTCTTTATATACAATATCATCTTAGAGAGAATGGACAAGACAATTTAACAAGAAAGATCAAAACCTGAAAAAAGGATTGTAAATAAGGGTAAACGTCTATATGCAGATGATATAATTATATCTCTGAAAATACACACACACAGAAAGTAGGAAAGTCAACACACACACACACAAATAATTTATGTTTGCAAAATACAGTCAATTCCAGGTAACAATAGAAGGTGGAGCTGAAGTTACAAGAGCATAAATTAAAACAAATTAAATAATATAAGACATATAAGGCAATTTATGTTTGTAAAGTTAGGGCTTACAGACCCCTCAAGTCTGTTGCACAGACTGGGTCACAAACCCTCCACACGCAGGTCGGTGAGCTAGGTAATAGATCTAGGAGCAACCATCCTAGTAGCTTCTCTGAGAGATCTGAGAAGCACTGTGGATCAGAGCTGTTAATCTTTTATACTTAAGTCCACAACCCTGGACACCTCGGTGCCCATACGCAACTTACATTAAGTAGTGACAAGGAACACCTGAGGATATTTACAGGAAATGCTCAGCAAGGTTCTGAACATCTGAGGGGCTCTGACATTTTCCTATTTTTCCCAACAATGTTATAATTCCATTCACATGAAATATCCGGAACAGACAAATACTTCAAGACTAGATTAGTGGTTGCCAGGCGCTGAGGGGAGGGAGGAATGGGGAATGACTGCTTAACTTGTACAGGGTTTCCTTAGGGGTGATGAAAATGTTCTGGAAGTGGATCGTCATGATAGTTACACAACATTGTGTAAAAAGATACTAAATATCACTAACGGTGCATTTTATGTGTATTACACCACTCTTAAAAGACATTAAAAATAGTATAGAAATAAAAGAAAATACCTAGGCACAACATAGAGTTATCAATTTTCCTTTAGATAACTTGCAAAAACTAATATGATTAGGTGATGTATATGCTATCAGATTTTATTTTGGAAATAAGTATTTTACTGCAAATTTCATATAGTAGCATAAACAAATGAGAATCATGGGGAAAACCTGGTAACAAAACACAGAGAAGGATGTTGACCTACCTTATTTTAAACCCTTCATAACTAAAGCAGCGTGGAATTGATGCATGAGTAGTATGACAGGATGGAAGACATGAATCAGCTGTAGACCAAAGTGCTTAAATAAAGGCAATAGCGGTGAAAATATTTCTAATGATTAGAGTTTGGGTTACTGGGTATGCTTTAGAAAAAACAGGACTTCACTCCTCACATCGTACTTTAGGCTAAAGGGAAACAATAACAACAACCCCCCCCCCCAAATCTGAAAACGAACAAAGCTAACAGGAAAACAAAAACCTAATTTAGTAAAAATAAAAGGTTAAATTGCACAAACAGTAAAAAAAAAAATTCTTCAGTGAATTCCTATGTACTCTGGGAGAGAAAACACTGGTTGTATCATTGCACAAACCAAGAGATATTAATAAAAGTAAAGATCAATAACTCAGAAAAGGGAAAAATAAAAATATTATGATTGGCAAGCAACACCATGAGCAAACTAAAAGGGCAAATTATAAATGGGGACTATTATTTGGCACTTATAAAACATACGAGGGGAAGCACTTAATATGTGTTTGTTGTAAAAACAAGGAAGCTCTCAAAACACATGAGATCCTGGGACACAGAAGCCAAGCAGAAGGGGCTCCTGCTGGCCACAAATGGGATAATTTGAGGTTTAAAAAAAAAATTCTTCAATGGCAATTGAATTACAGCAAATATGTAAAATCCATGAATTCATGAAGTCCTTAAAATATTCTGAAGCTTTTCAAGGTGTGTGAAGCACAGATTCATTTTTCTGATAATTGATAAAGAAAAATAAACAAGCATTTATCTTTTCTTTTTCAAGGCACTGTGATACAGTAGTGTAACACAGCAGTTGGGAAAAAAAAAGCTTATATTAACAAAAATCAAACAAGGGCAAAAGGAAAGCGAAAATTCAAAATTTCCCTCTTTGTCGGTCCTTGTGGCCATTCACAAAGTAAATAAATAAATAAATTTACCACTGCAATTCCCAATGATGGAATGGAATTTTTGAGACATTAACTGATGAATGCCAAAACCATTAGGAAAATAGTTGAGGGATGGAGCATATTCACATCACCTAAACCCACCAATCAACTTTAGCTTAACTGAAAGTGGGAAAATAACACATGTTGGTACTAATATGCTTATAGAGTAATAAAACAAAACTACTTCTGAAATATTTTTCCCCAACACAAATCAAGAAAGAATATCAATTAAATCAATCCTGTAGATACAACTATCAGTTTATGAGAACATGAATGATCAAATTTTATGTTAATTGATAACATAAGCAATTGTTTGCTTTTGATCCAAAATCTGGCAAAACCTGATGTGGGCAATTCAGAAAAAAAAATGGAACAGTTTTTGAACAGATAATTTTATGATGAAAATTGGAGGAAGAACCATTATATATTAAAAGACACATAATGCACACTGTTATGGACTAAGTGCTTATGTCCCCACACTATATTTTGGAACCCCAACCCTCAATGTGACGGTATTAGGAGATGAGGCATAAGGAAGTAAGCCATGATGGTGGCACCTTCATAAATGAGATCAGTGCTCTTTTAAGAGGAGGAACAGAGAGCTTGCTTCTTTCTTTCTCTGCTCCCTGTCAACGTGAGGACACAGCAAGAACACAGCCATCTGCAAGCCAGGAGGGCACTCACCAGACACCAGATCTCCCAGTAACTTGATTTTGGACTTTTCGGTCTCCAGAACTGTGAGGAAAAAAATGTCATTTAAAGCCACCCAATTTATGGTGATTCGTTATGGAGGTATGCTGTGGTTTAAAAGTGTATCTCCTCCAAAATTCATGTTGAATCTTATCCCCATTGTGCTGACATTAAGAGGTAGAGCCTTGGATGGGGCTGGCCAGTTAGCTCAGTTGGTTAGAGCACAGCCTTTTAACCACAAGGTAATGGGTTAGGATCCCCACACCGGCCGGCAGCCTCCCCCCGCCCCCCAAAAAATGAAAATTAAAAAAAAAGGAAAAGAGGCAGGGCTGGCCGGTGGCGCACTGCTACAGTGCGCTGCTTGGGAAGCGCGGCGGCACTCCCGCCGAGGGTTCGGATCCCACATACAGACCGGCCACTCACTGGCTGAGCGAGGTGCGGGTGCTACCCCAAGGGTTGCGAGCCCGTTGCTGGTCCCGGTCCGGTATGGGCGCGACACTGAGGGTTGCGATCCGTTGCCGGTCATGAAAAAAGAGACAAAAGGGATAAAAAAAAAAGGAAAAGAGGTTAGCACAGTTGGTTAGAGTGTGGTGCTTATAACACCAAGGTCCAGAGTTCCATTCCTGTAATGGCCAAACACCCCTCCAAAAAAAGAGTTGGAGCCTTTTGGGAATTAAGTCATAAGGGCGCTATCCCATGAGTGGATTAGTACTCATGAAAGAGGTTGGAACAGAATAACAAGTGTAAGGGAGAACTAAGTAACTCACATCTACTTTTAAAAAGTTATTGCTTTTGGGCCGGCCCGGTGGCGCACTGGATAGTGCGCCGCTTGGGAAGCGCGGCGGCGCTCCCACCCGAGGGTTCGGATCCCACATACAGACTGGTTCCCGCTCACTGGCTGAGCGAGGCACGGGAGCAACACCGAGGGCTGCGATCCCGTTGCCGGTCCCCGGTCCGGTACGGGGGCAACACTGAGGGTTGCGATCCGTTGCCGGACACGGAAAAAAGACAAAAAAAGAAGTTATTGCTTTTATTAAAGCAACAGTTGGTGACCTAACATCACTGGCCCTAGCCCACCACTCCCTACATCCCAGTTGTCCCAATGAAAGTCACTAGAACCTAGCACAGGATTGACTCTCTCTGAATGAATGGGGGCTGGAAATGAAAAGAATTTCTATTCTGTTCTGTTGGGTGTCAGCATAAAATTGCACATTCCACCCAGGCAGAGTTTTGCATTTCACATTCTAGTTTGCATCCCCTTCACTGACAATTCCACGTCTTCTTGATTAAATTGATAAAATTAATTTTAATGGCAGGAACGTATCTGGATCCAATCACCATCCCTCTTTGACCCTCCCAACGAATCCCAGGTCACAGACCCCTGAGTTGCTCCAGTTTCACTGGTAGGTCTTGCCTCTGAAGCCCAGAAAACAGAGACGTTCCAGAGGAGAAGGAAGCACAGACCCCACGCCACCGTGTCACGCTCCCAGCCGGGGCTGGCCTCTCCCTGCGTCCGTCCGCAGTTTCCTGCAGACCGGGAAGCGAATGGCG